TAGGTCACTTGCATAATTGCATGTTAAAAGCAGCTTTTAATGTTTCTACAGTGCAACCACAAGAAACAATTTCTCCGACTATAGATTTGACGTGTTCACTTTGCAATAGCTTAAGAGTTATGAGTTTTACTTGATGTCTACTATCTTAATATTTGTTTCTTAAAATGTATGTATATATACTACTACGGGGACTGTTGGTCTAGTGACCCTGATTGGTAAGACGGAGGTTGTGGGTTCGATTCTAACCCAGGACAAATAATTGTGTGATGGGCAAGATCATTTGTTCTGTGTCGGGTGTAAGTTATCAATCTTATATATAAAATTCTCGTGTCACAATGTTCGTTCCCGTACTCCTCCGAAAAGGCTTGACCGATTCTCATGAAATTTTGTGTGCACATCGGGTAGGTCTGAGAATCGGCCAACATCTATTTTTCATACCCCTAAATGATAAGGGTGACCCATCCCTAATTTTTTTTTGTTTTGCAATACAACGTTTGCCGGGTCAGCTAGTTTTATATAATATGTATTTAGAAAAATATAAGATGTTTTTCAGCAGTCTGCTTACCATAGCACGGCTGCCTAGTTCGAAATCAAACAGATTTTTTTTTAAGTTTTGTTTATTTTTAAGTATTTAGTTAATAAAAGTGCTCAATTCTTTTAATAGAAGATCAATTTATGAAGATATTATCTCTTTGGCTGAGACTGCCTATTATTTGCCATATTTAGATATTATTTTTTTAAGATGTCGGAAAATATATATAATTTCTTTCAAACAGTAAATAAAGATACTCCTACTCCTACTCCTTCGCAGATGTTTCCACTAGATTCCTCTTTGCCATCTGTATCAGACTGTCGGATAGCGATTGTGGTTCGGAGATCGAAAACTAATTTGATTTCACCAGTTCAGTTGCACTTCTGCGTGATCCTTTTCTTTGTTCTGCCTACCATTTTTGCTGTATGTTCAAAATACCTCAACATTCCCTGGTAGCAAGTAGTCGATGGACGTTGATATTTTGTGTTGATCAAGGACTTGCTAGTTCTCTTAGCTGTCTATGAATTCTAAACATGCTGAGCCAATACCACATTTCAACGGCGGCTATTTTCTATATGTAGGTTTTAGGTCAATCATAGGCCTAATACAATTTGTGAAAGATTTTTTATACGGCCATAGCCATGGTCCATGGCGGATATTCGGCACTTTCAAATATGGGTAGTAGGTCCGATTCGGGAGCGGCAACTTCAGTGTTGTTAACCAGGAGGAGTCAGTAGTCGCAGCTGCGCAGTACGTCGGTGACGCAATGTGCGCTTGCGAGATAAAGAGGTATTAGAGTTAAATAAAGAATAGATTCAAACACAAATTTTGAACAATAACAGTTATACAGTATATGAAAAACACAATAGAAGTAAAGTCTATTTTATATTGTCGTAAAGAAAACTAGAATCATGCGAGTTCCAAGTCGATTGGCGCCACGTGACTCAGAACCAATTCCTTATCAGATTGTGGGGCGACCGTGGATCGTAAAGTGGGTTAATGAAGGACTGTTTATTCTTTTTTTTTTCGTAAATTTTGTGGTATTTAGATGTAAGCGAGTCGTATGCCAGTTTTGTTAGATATGCGTAAAGTGTTTGTGACCTGAATATCAATTTTTGTATTGTTTGGATGAATCTGTTTATAAATTTATTTCCATAACTTTATTTATGTAGTAAGATTAGAGCAAAGGCCTTCACCGAGGCAATGATTTGAATACCGGCTCAAGATATGTACGAAATTTCTCAGCGATCTTGGCAATGTAAAATATCCAAAGTTCATGAAGAATATTAATTTTTGCACTCAAACTATGTTTAATTATATATTATTATATATTTATTTAATGAGCATCTGTATGGGTGTCAAACTTGGCCTCCTACGAGCAAAAACAACAAAAAACTTTTAGTTTGGAACAAAGCATGCTTAACATAAGGCTACGAGACCGGTGGACAACGTTTAAAATAGGGTAAAAAACAAGGGTGACCGATGTATTACAAAAAAATAACTTAAATAGAACTAGACCGGTCATATAATGAGGACGGATAGTGGATCAAAAGCTGGAGGAAAAAGGAGGATGGAAGGATGGAGAAAAAAGGTCCTAATAGGGATAAGTAGAAGGAACTGGGAGAAGCTTATGTCGAAACACAACCTAAGTGGTTGCTAGAAGCAATATTTTATCAAAAAATAAGATTTAAGAATATTGTCTTATAAGTAGCATGTAAGATAAAATCTGTGATATGGTTCAGTAAATAAAGGCTTTTATTATTATTATTTATAAAATACGCAAATGTCATTTCATAAAATAATGTTCATAGCTCATTGTATGGAAAGTGCTATCTTGATGAAACAGATATAGCAATGATACATTAAAAATAAATATATTTAAAGTTAAATACTGTAAGTTTTTATCGTTCTCTTCGTTTGGAGTAAAATGCTCTTATATTATTGTGTACTGAGGATTTTGCTATCAAACAGAAACATTTTTTTTGGTTTTAAAGAAACAATTTTTAACAAGTTTTTTCTGTCTAGCAGCCCGTGATAAAAGGATCAGTTGGGATGAGCAATGTTGCTACAATTTGATTCGTCGTACGTCTACATCATGAGATCACCTAAAGCAATCGGATGTCGGTTGTCATAGGTTTGTATGACAGTCATTTTCTGGAATGTCTTACTTTATGGTCTGCCCATAAAATATCATTTAATTTCGGATGGTTATGTGCTTAAAAAAAGTTGACAGGAAATTGTGGGCTTAACAGTTAACTAGTTGAAACTTGCGACTAACGAAAAATATTTTTTTTTATCTAGAAAATGAGAAAAAATATATTTAATTTGTGATTTTTTTTTACAATTTTAATATAATTAATAAATATCAAAATTTCATGTTTTTTTTTAAAAGATTAATACTTTATCCAGATACAGATAAGACTATTTTTATGTCGACTGTGAAAGTATGTATGTAAAACAAAAAAAAAACATGCTTTAATACCATCTAACGAAGACACAAGGAACTATAGAATTAATTAGAATTCTGCATCGTGTAATAAAAGTTTTTAAATTAGTATAAATGAAACTTTTCTACATGTTCGTCCTCGACTCGCCAGGAAGTATACAACAACTGTTCCTCCACAAAATTAAATTATTGTTGAGTAGGTAATCTATTCAAAAATTACTACCTAAGATATAATGGTGCAATTTCTTCAAAATAAATTTTAATATAATTTATTATTAACCTATTATTTTAAATATTATGTCGAAGTAAAAGTATATTTATGGGCAAGTGTTCGATTTTACCATCGTGAGTTTAAATCGTAGTCGTAATCGTTTCAAAGGATATAATGATTTTTAAGTTTTTAAGATTCGTTTTTTAAGTAAACGAGTTTTTCTAGGTATATGACCAGGAGACTAACTAATCCTTAAATGATTATAAATTTAACGATTAATTTGACTATAAATTTTATAGTTCATAATGATAATGATTTTTGTTATCCGTGTGGTGACGAATTAGGAATACGGAGAGTTACCATCTCTATTCATACTATATGTGTCGTAAGAGCCGACTTAGGGAGCAAAATATTCAGGACAACAGCACTGCAAAGAGAAGGAAAACTTGAAACAAACCCTATACAAACCCGTCTGGCCAGAGCGGTATAGTAAGCCAAAACCTCCTTTTTAAGGAGCCTATATCCAGCAGATAATTGTTATAGGCTGTTGATGATGATAATGATTTAGGTTGTTATTAGGGTATACAATTACTAACAAAGAATAAACGCGAGCACACGCGAGCGATAGTAAGCATTATATTCCATTACCTTTGAATATCCCGACATTTTGACCAGGTTGTACAGGCCGTGACTGGGAACGCGAATGTCTAACAGTTGCTAGTACATCAAGTGGCATGGTTTAGGCATACTTTTCAATTATTATTTCCGGGTTAGTATTGTTATAGTAGTTATAGTTGTCCGGTATTAGTAACCGGGTTTAAAAAATAGTTCACAAATCATCGTGGTAATTCTCGTTTCTGTATCTGTATACATAAAAAATATATATTTATATATACTAAATTTTGAAACTCAAAACTATAATAACTTTTCACTAAAAAAATATTAATTGTTCATATTTAGTAGTAGATTTTTTATCATACTTTTTAAAATGTACTAACTTAGAATACTTCATTCAGCAAGCACAACATTATAAGAAAAGTCTTTGTAATTTTTTAATCAAAATATGCAAATTGGAGTAATATTATTAGGGAAGTGGTGTTATTTAATATTTACCGGTAACAGAAAATATTTAGATCGTACACTTGTTTGAACTGAACGTTGTTGAGATAATGACCATATTAGGTAAAACGTAGATGTTACTGAAAATCTAAACACTCACTGTTTTCGAGCTTTAACAGTGACATTTAAAATTAATTGTAGTCGTTATAGTTATTTATAGCTTTGTTTGACCTCTTTTGTGTAAAGAAAAGGTTTTGAACTAAGTATTTCTAATTTGAATAACTGCGATACAAATTTTATACATTTGTTCTTCGGTTTATAAATTGTGTCTTATTGTGATACTGTTCTATTTGATTGAAAACATTTTACATTACAGAGAGCTTACTCTTTGTAGAGCTTAGAACGAATGATACTAAGCTGTATGGCTAAAAATTAAATGTATGTAGCTGTTGTTGAGATATTTACCTCAAACAAGGCAACGGCAACGGATAACGGTTTTTTTAATGAAGCGAAGATTCTAGAATAAAAATTATTTATATTTATTAGTTCTACAATATTCAAATAAAAGCGTCCAATTATCTAAATCTGAGTTTTTTTATTTCATACCTAACCATAAATTAGAGGAGAATAATATTTATAGAAATGTTCTGTTGAACTATAAAAAAAAATCTCATCTGATGATTTAATAGCAAATTAAATGCAAAGCAAATAAAAACCATAGTATATCTTAAAATCAAGCACATTTAGGTTTATTACTTACCATCAGGGACATACACGTTCAAAAAAAGACAATCCTCTGAGTACTCCTTTTTCCTTTTATCTTCGCTCTGTGATTCCAACAATTTCATAAACAAATCATCATGTTTTTTTACAGGGAACTGCACATCCTCCTTCTGCGGATCGGTTTGCATACAATCCGGGGCATATTTCGTCGCATTCTTCACACCATCCCATTGAGGCAAAGCCGTATATTCCGGAGGAGTAAATCTTCTAAAATCAATTGGAGGCTGAGCGTAAGGTATTCCTAAGTAAGCCGCTATCCTTTTCGTCCGGAATCTCGTAATATACATTCCCGCTATCGTCCCTTGGCTTGCTAATGTTATTTGGCGCGGTTCTTTCGCTGCTAAACTTATAGTCATTTGCAGAAACAACACTAATAAACAGATCATTTTTATCATAATTAATTTTAAAGACAATGGCAACACATTTTTTAAACTTGGTATTCACTTTTAAAAATGGAATGAAAGATGTTCGAAGATGTTAAAACTAACATTCATTTTAAATTAATGATGATCACGTTTGTATTATACAGCTTAATTGGAATTCGTAAAGCGAACTAGAATTTGTTAGTTTAGTGCCAGTCGTCCGGACTTCGGAGTGTATCGGGGGGTGTTCGTGTTCGAACGAAGGTGGTGCGTTACTGTTTCTCGTGCAGACTTCGACTCGTAAACAGTGGGGTTGTCCGTCGTTATAGCGACCAAGGAATTGCTATAGTGGGCTTTGTTTGTTTTAGAAGTGGCGAATAATATTTGCTTGTGATATTTTTTTTTAATCCAATGACTATGTACTTACCGTTGATTGTTTAAGTTACTATCATTTATATTTTCATAGTACTTATAACGTCGTTATGTTTTTTGTTCAACCATAGCTGCTCAAGGCATTATGGCATAACCCACAAACTCTAGGGTCATTATTGGAATCAAATAAATTAATCCAAAAAAATTACGTTAGAGTCCATATAATATTTCAAAATATATTTTATTAACCGGCGTCACCAAAAAGTTGTTTCTCAATTCCGTTTTCTAAATCGATTTACAAAGTTATTATTAAATGCTATTAAAAAATTTCATTCAAAATTATGTTGATGTTCAAATAATGACAAATAAATGTTATTATCATCATCATCATCATGATCATCGTCGGCTCGTTCGGCTCACCGAATGATACCTGAAAATCTCGGCAACTACGAATACGATTTTAGTGAAACAGATAGAAATTAAATATTTTCACTCCGTTTTATATTAAAAAAAATACAAAAATATACTCATCTTCAAACAAAAATATAAAAACATGACAAACCGTGCGAGAGCAATGCTTCGTCATCATTGTCATCATCAATGCTTCGTCATATTTAGATTGAAAACCGCCTCGCAGAAAACCGCTATAAAACAACCAAGCCAAACAACAATAAAGCAAGTCACCAACTCTTTTCTACGACTACACTCAAAGACACTCCAACGATTTCCATGTTGCAGTTACTACATTGCTACATCGATGGTTTCTAAACCAAGATTCTTCTACGCAGTTAGGAAATATTCTCCTATTCCTCTAGTGGAGCAATTTTGAGCTCTCTCAACCCATAATCGTGAGTGAGTTTCGTTGTCTCACTCACGCCTGGTTTGAGCTCGTCTTAAGTACGCTTGATCGAATTGTGATTCACAATCCGATCCGGATTCATTGCTCTCGAGTGTACAGAATAACCAGGAATGTTAATATCACCAACTTCAAAAGGATATTTATGTGTGAGATTTATGTATCAGGTTGAATTGGAAACGCCAAAGTCAATAACAAAGTAACGTGACATTAGGGATTTCTTAGTACTGTGAACAGTTATTTCTCTGGGGGAATAAACGAGATACTACTTAATTAGGGATTGATGAAAGTAAGATATATTTATTTTATTTCTGGAAAGAATCTAAATCACTCGACAAGGAGTGCCTTAGGTTAATAAATGTTTAATAAAGACCTGTTGAGTAGTGGTATTTAGATTTCTAAATGAAAATAATAATAAGATCCTTTATAGATTAGCAATATGTACCTACTTTTGTTAATATATATCATTAACAAAAGTAGGTTTTTCTCAGTACGTTGTGTACATAATTTAGGTTCGTGTCACGCAAACATAGAGATTATATTATTCGTGTCTAATACCTTATCTTAAGATCGAAATTTGTCATCTTGGTTGACATATTTCTGTTCATTTTAGATCGTGGTGACTTTATGTCGCCAAAAATATGATTAGAGACTAATAATAACTATTTGTTACAATGATATTTTTAATATTTTATTTATGTATTTAATATTAGGTATAGCTATTTTACCTGTCGTAGAGTCTAATAAAAAGAATGTCGTCAGACGATCCTTTTTATTAACTTTTTATCGGGTCAAATAATCCAACCGTAGAATGACCTGCTATAGTTTACTCTAATAGTTACACAACTTATGTAAAGTCATTAGTAGTACATTAAGAAGCGGGTAAGAACTATTTCAATCCTTGTTTCCGAATAAGTCTTTTTTTTAATGACAAATAAGGTTTTAGTTAGATCTTTAGTTTGGTTTGTCGAGCAAAAAATATTCAGTTGCAGTCACCGTAATTCCCCGCAAACAAAACTAAATGTTTATAAATTTTGCTAATTAAAAACTGTATCATAATAAGCTATTTTCCTGTTGTGTCTTGTCTACATATTCGTTTTCTATACAAATAGCTGGTGCTAAGCTTGCGACGGCAGCTCGCGTGACAGCGATACCTGGAGTCATTGCATTTGGCTACCGTGCCCGAAGCTTTCGCCTCATCTCTCCAAGTAGGTCATTGCGACTACCTTTTCGATCGGTAACATTTTATGCTAAATTAAAAATAGCTAAATGCTAAAATTGTTTTTTTTTTTAATTTGTTCCTTTTTTAAATCAATGCCTAACTAATTGTTTTTTAGTGTTTAAGTGCATAGGTACGAGTATGTTGTAATTATTTGTATATTTTTGTTGTTTATTTGACTCCTGAGTTGCGGGCGTTCATGGGCGGCGGTAATCGCTTTCCATCAGCTGACTCGTCTGCCCGTTTCCCTCGGTTACTCCATAGAAAAAATCATGTCTAAAGACTGTAAGAGTTACAGTTGTAGGCTATATACATTGATAACTTTAGATTCATCACCTACATAATACTTATTTTGAAGTCATTTTGCGATACTTTGGCAACAAATTATTTTTGAATAATTCAAAACAGTTTGTTTCTGTATTGTACGTGATTTTTTTCAATTATACATGGTGCTCGGTACAGAATACTTTTATTCCTTGCTCATCTTCCAAGCATAAAAAATCTAGTTCTAGTAATGCACACCTCACCAGTTGGTCAGTACTGAATTGCATGCTAATTACAAAATGTCACAACTCAATTGAAACTGCCAATCGACTGACACCAGGACTCACAAGAATGACACACGCCAACTACAAACTAACTGCGCAGTCGGTTGGTTTTGGAGTATGAAATAAATTTAAGTTTATTGTAAGTTGTAGACATTTACTACTATTCTAACCATTAAATACGTGTACGGGGTGTATCACTTGAGAAAGTTACGATGTTAGAAGGCATATCTAGAATTACAATGTTTCCTTTTCGTTTTTTATTTTGTGAGATTCAGAATTCAAATATTTCTCATTACAGACCTTATAAGTTTTATTTTACAAATATACAGTTGCTGAGTAACCGCCCTCGACAGATCATAAAGAAACTGCTAGTATGTTTGATTATGCTGCCTTGCCCTTTGTGATTTCTAGTATTTTTTAAAGAATATATGTACTAAAGAGTTAAGAAAAGGTCAAGAAGAAATGGTTTATTTCTTTGTAATGACACATAATATATTTCTTATAAATCTTCTAATATTATCATTGTTATAATAAGTTACGTACTTACATTCTGAATTTAAAAGTTGTTCTAATAAATTTTTATTCACTAATATAAAAAAAACATATAAATTCATTTTCCTAACAGCCTTTAACCAATATGACTATTACAACTTTTAAATTGTCGCGTTCTATAAAATATAATTAAATATATTATGATCGGTCAATGCTACCGGTCGAAATGTCAGTCATACAGGTAATATATTATGATACAATATGATTATTAACCTCCTTTCTGAGGAGAGGCCTATGTCCAACAGTGGACTATTAAAGGCTGTTGATGATGATGATGATGATGATGATGATTATTATTTATCCTGTCAGTGTTAAGTAAAAATCATAATATATATTATTTTACATTGATGGCATCACTTTGTGTATCACGGTTAATTTTGTTAAACCTTACTCAATCCTTACCTTGGTTTGCCTGTTTGTTTTCCTTAATTACCTTTTGTATAAATGAAAATCTATAGTATGAAAACGCCACAGCCTACGACTAGTGACTCACCGCTATGTCTAAACCAGTTCTGTAAGAATTAGTAACTGAAGTTAGACAGTTCATTCCGAGAAATAACGTTGGATCAATATCAGTCAGTACCCACCATAACTTTGACATTTAGATCTCCTTACTATCCATTGCCATTATTGCTTTTTACTTTTCACTAATGTTTACAAATAAAAACAAAATATAGTTGGCAGATATTACTAGTACGTGTAACATCTTAAATAGCGCGTTTCCCTAGCTTTGAAACGGCACGACATCGACGACACTAACGTGGTTCTTATTGTAAAGTGTAAAACGGTTGATCTCTCGAATAAGGAGAACTACAGACCATATCCTTAGTAAACACTATAGGTAATGTGCTTGACGAACTGCTTCATAAGCATTTTAATAAATACTTACCATTGCAGGATAACCAGTTCAAACTCAAACTCAAAATATCTTTATTTGTCTCTTGTGTAGACTAAATTCTTAGGTCAACACACACATTAGAAATAATCTCTGATTTCTCAAATATATGTGAGGGAGAGAGAGAGAGATAGCTTCATAATATTCTCGTATTATTAGTTGGAGAGTGAACTATGTTTGGGCAGTTTGCTCACATATTATGTACTTCATGCAATACATAATGCATTCATGCATACAATAATTATTGAATATTCCGTGTATCTTTCCAAGCTAGGAACCTCAAATTTTCCTATTTTTTTCCTATCTGAAGATAGAAAATCTTTGAGGGATCTACGAGCAAACCAGAGTCACACATCTGTAATTTAATGAACACCTCACCACCACACATATCTGTAATTTTCTGTGTGAACCTTGTAACCTTATCTTTTAATGAATTTGAAATTATAATACACAAAATATTCTTAAAAAGGTCCGAAATCATATTCAATTTCATTAGGGAGCTTTTGTCAGTTTAAAAGGTCAACACTTCATTCGTTTTATTTTATTATATTAGGCCCTTGCTCTGATACTTGTAAATTAAAT